TAGCATTGGAAGACGATGGTTCGCTGTGGTGAAGCACATCAGCAACTTTATATTGAGCACGCATGATATATGCATGTCACAAAACACGATATTTCGAAGAAAGAAATTTCTCACTGGATTTTCTGGGACTTTTTATGAATTCTGCATTTGTTTATATTAGTTTAATATATATGCATTTTTGATAGTATTTATGAAGTTTACAGGGGAATATGAATTATTCAGCTCTGTATTTATAAGGCAGGTTGGGATTCATTGCACTTTATTTATTTATTTCAGGTACTCATATAGCGCCGTCAATTTACGCAGCACTTTACATATATATTGTACATTCACATCAGTCCCTAACCCTCACGGGGCGTACAATCTAAGGTCCCTAACTCACATTCATACATACACATACTAGGGACAATTTAGACAGGAGCCAATTAACCTACCAGCATGTCTTTGGAATGTGGGAGGAAATCGGAGTACCCGGCGGAGGAAACCCACGCAGTCACAGGGAGAACATGCAAACTCCAGGCAGGTGGTGACATGGCTGGGATTCGAACCAACGACCCGAGTACTGCCAGATGGAAGTGCTAACCATTTAGCCACTGTGCTGCCCGGTGATCTATTCTATTATCTATTCATATCATCAGTTATATTACTAATTGTGTTTTATGCATTTACATGCGTTTTGTCTTTTTTATAAGAAAAAAAAACAAATATTGCACATTTATATTGGATTATACACATTTTAGTTGCGCTACACTTTTTTATATTTATGCATTTTCAGTTATTGATAATGCTGACCCAGAAGCATATATTGCTCTATGAAGAGCTTGGTGAATGTTGTCCTGATTTTCTAGGTGTCATTTTTTCTCTATAAATGAAGGGATTGTGTGTTTTTGTGAGGCTGTGTTTTGTAACACTTTCTTCCTTGAAGATGCTGCTGGTGTAAAGAAACATTTTGTGATGATCCAGAAACAGTGTTTCTGGAATGAGAACTCTGAAACTTCTCAAACTGTCATTCTTTCCCTCATCATTTCATTTTATAAAGTATTTTTTAATGTCTTTAGGGCACCTGTGGCATGCCAGGATGTGTTTTGTCATCCTTGTAGCATTTGGAAAAGAATATTTCTTCTCACAATATTTGCAAGCTTTGCTCTAAACAGAAATTGCACTGTGAAAATGTTTCCAAACTCTAGATGTTTGTCTCACCATTTTACTGAGAGGAAGAAAATAAAAAAAAATACTGACCAGACTATAAGTAAATGTGATGGTGGAGAACATTAATAGGAATCATTTAAAGGTTAACTAATTTGTCAAAAAATTTACCCTTATCTGTCAATTAAGGCTGAGAGGACAGAAACTATCATCTACTGTATCCCAACAATCACCCAACTTTAGGTGGTACTAGATGAAACCGCATTCAAAACTCAACTGGAACTTTTCCCCTGTATTGCCCCCTACTGCTGAAGTGCCTATTTATCTTGTTTGGAACTGCATTGAGAAGTACAGTGTTACTTGAATTGTATTCCAGGGGTTGCTTGTCTGCAGATGAGAGAACGTACAATAATTTAAGACTTTACAGACCTTAAGTCTCAGAAATCTTTCATCAAGGTTTTCATGTTATATAGTTTGAATACCATGTCATAGATATATTATTTATTGTTGTAAAAGAACATATTCCAAACTTCTTTAACCGTTTCAATACCGTGCAATTTTACACCTTCCTGCCCAGGCCATTTTTCAGGTTTCAGCGCTCTCACACTTTGAATGACAATTGCGCGGTCATACAACATTGTACCCAAACTAAATTTTATAATTTTCTTCACACAACTAGAGCTTTCTTTTGGGTGGTATTTAATCACTGCTGGGGTTTTTATTTTTTGCTAAATTAACAAAAAAAGACCAAAAATTTTGAAAAAAAAAAACACATTTTTCTTTGTTTCTGTTATAAAAGTTTACAAATAAATAATTGTTCTTCGTAAATTTAGGCCGAGATGTATTCTGCTACATGTCTTTGGTGAAAATAACCCAAATTAGGATGTATTTTTTAGTTTGTAGGAAAGTTATAGAGTTCACCAAACTATGGGATATATCTGAATATTGATCAATCCTGAAGTACTGACAGCCAATCTAATATCTTGAGGTCCAAGAATGTCAGAACAGTACAGATATCCCCCAAAACATGACCCCTTTTTGCAGAGTAGACCAACCCGACGTACTTCAGATAAGTGCTAACCATTTAGCCCACTGTGCTGCCCCGGTGATCATTATCTATTCATATCATCAGTTTTTTGAAGTTGTATTTTTTTGTCATAATTTTTCGGAAAATGAAAAAATTAAAAAAATTATTTTCACTATTTTTTTTTTACATACTGTCACCAGTGCAGTACAGCGTCATCATATTACTGGCATGGCGGTGAACATAGCGACCACTGACTGGTGACAGTATATTGCTATATAAGAGCTTTTTTTTCCTGATTATTATTTTTTTTTTATTATTATTATGTATATTTAATTTTTTTTACATTTTTCCTTGAAAATTTTTTTTGAAGAATTTTTTTTTCATAAACAGTTTTAATGAGAACCAAAACTCCTCAAACTGTACAATGTCCCTCATCATTTCATAGTAACACTGTACTACTTTGGGGAAGTGTGGCATCAGGATGTGTTTTATCATTTTAGTTTTTTTTTTACACAATTTGCTATAAGCATTTGCATTTACCTGAATGAAATGGAAAATTCATTCAGCTTTTTTTTTTTTTTGTGCTTAGGTGATTTGGTCACAGCTAATCACATGACATGTATGCATGTGATTAGCTGTGACCATTCACAGCTAGGCACTAGTTTATTACAATGGATGGCATCATGAATTTAAGCCATCCATTGTAATAAACTGTCATGTGACCTGCTGTGATTGGTCACTGTATCCCAACAGTCACAACTGGAGGTACTAGATGGAACCCGCATTTAACGGGAACTTTTCCCCTGTACCCCCTACTGGCTGAAATGCCTATCTTGTTTGGAACTGCATTGAGATCAGTGTTACTCGAATTGTATTCCGAGGGGTGCACGGGCAGATGACAGATCGCACAATAATTTAAGCTGCTTTACAGACTCTGCAAGTCTCAGCAAACCGCGCATCAAGGGAGCACGCCAATGGCGTGCACCCGAAATAGTTTTCAAGCCGCCAAACCCATTGCCAGTCATAGAAATATTATTTATTGGCCGGGCCAACAACGGCCTATTCCAAACTGGTTAAATCATTTTTTCCTGAACCCCCCCCAAAAAAAAAAAATGGGTTTGAGGAAAAAACAAACTATTTTTTCCCAATGTTTCTGTTTTTTTTTTTTTTTTCCAGGCCTTCCTATCTCTAGTTATCATACTTCTATTCCAGAGCATTATTTAAAAAAAATGCATCTTTAGCCTGCCTTTAGACACGCAGAGCTGTGGTACAGACTTTAGCTGTGAAATCTGATGATCAGTTGCAAAGACCATTAGGAAAGAACATTTTTTTCTGGGAGTATGCCTCTGGACATTTTGAATTAATTTGTTTCTTCTGGTCATAAGAATCGTGAAAGTAACGATCATTTCTAGGACAGGCTGCTTGAGCTGCTGAGTGGGACAAAATGGCAGGCTGCAACATTGACGTTTCAGCTGATGAGTTGAAGGCTCATGCAAAAGAGAAAGATAAAACAAACAACAATAGAGGACCGGCCTGCCCTGAGACATCCAGTGGGTCGACAAATTCCACCGGCCAAATGTTCCAATCTCAAAAGAGCACCAGCACAAAAACCAAGCCTTTTTCATGCAAGGTGTGTGGGAAATGCTTCAGCCATAAATCTCATTTTCATCAATCCCCTCTCCTCCTGATCCATACTGTTGTTCACCTGCCTCACGCAGCTATTGGTTTTCTCCACATCATCATTTTTGCTTTCATCATGTGTAGGCATGATCTTTAGGGCTGGCTCCAGTCACTGTACTGTTGTTCCAGAGCGTTATCTTTAAAGGAACACATCTCTGGCATCCCTTTAGACATGCATACCTGTTGGACACTGTATAGTACAGACGCTTTGCATTCTGCTGATCAGTTGCTTGATTGTACAACGGATTATACAACTGATCAGCAGATTGCACAGATAAAGCCTGCAGCATCCAATGGCCAACTAGGAGGAGTATGCACATCCAAAGGGATGCCAAGGATGTGTTCTTTCATATATTGCTAAAGGAAGGGTGCTGTGACGTAGACTGCCGGCCCCTGTCACCAAACTTGATCCTACTTCGAGAGGCCAGCAAAAAAACAGTGATGATGTCAAAGAAATAATTTGATGATCAAGTCTAGAAGATTGAAGTGAAGGTATTGTATGCACACATTCCACTTCAGCTTTAATTTGATAAACCACAACTATGTTGCTGTTTGGTTCCTTCTTCTCTATATAAAAGGAAATGATTGTCTTGTAGAGAGATGGAAAATGCACGTGTGTGTGTGTATGTGTGTGGAAGTAGTAAGAAGTGCTTCTGACACTAGGAAATACTTGTAGCTTCTCTCACAGATCTGCTTTAGACTAATGTTCGTGCTAAAGTAATTATCGGTTGTTTTTTTTTTTTTTTTTCAGAGTCTAAAGGAATAGATGGAGCCCCAAGAACAGCACCCTCCCTGTGCCAGGAGAAGAGTAATACCAAGAAGAGCTCAGCAGATACCCCCAGGCGTCGGAGAAAGCCCACCAAAAACACATCGCAACCCAAGCAGCAGCTCTCCGGAACGACTATCTGTGAACATTTTGAATGAATTTGTTCCTTCTGGTCAGGATAATGACACAAGTAACGATGATTCCTCCAACAGGCTGCCTGAGCTGCTGAGTGTGGACGGAATGGCAGCCCACAACAATGATCTTTCAGTGGGCGAGTTGAAGGTTCACGCAGGGGAGAAGAATGAAACAAACAACAATGGAGAACAAGAGTCCCCTGAGTGCCCTGTACCATCCTGTGGGTCACGTTTTTCCACTAGCCGAATGTTCCGATCTCAGAAGGGGACCAGCACAAAAGCCAAGCCCTTCTTGTGCACAGTGTGTGGGAAATGGTTCAGCCAGAAATCTCTGCTCATCCAGCATCACCGAAACCACACCGGGGAACGTCCCTACCCATGCATGGAGTGCAGCAAAAGTTTCACTTCATGTTCTCTGCTCATTCGTCACCAGAAGATTCACACCGGTGAAAAACCCTTCGCCTGTTTGGACTGCAGCAAACGTTTCAGCGAAAGTTCCCAGCTAGTCCGCCACCAACGAACTCACACCGGAGAGCGACCGTACACATGTATAGAGTGCGGCAAGAGCTTCAGCGAGAGCTCCAAGCTAGTCATCCACCAGCGCACTCACACTGGCGAACGGCCATATTCCTGCAGTGACTGCGGCAAGAGCTTCAGCGTGCGCTCGCACCTTATTACACACCAGAGGACTCATACGGGTGAGCGCCCCTACACATGTAACCAGTGTGGCAAGAGCTTCAGCGAGAGCTCCAAGCTGGTAATGCATCAACGTATTCACACCGGTGAGCGCCCTTACACATGTGCCACCTGTGGCAAAAGCTTTAGCCAGCGCTCCGTCCTGGTCACCCACCAACGTATACACACAGGCGAAAAGCCCTACACCTGTCCCGACTGCGGCAAATGTTTTATCGACAAGGTCGGCTGCGACCGGCACCGTGTTACACATAGCAACGAAAAGCCTTTCCAGTGCCCCCTTTGTGGCAAGAACTTCAGTCGCAACTCCGACTACAACAAACATCAACGTACCCATACTGGAGAAAGGCCATATGCTTGTCTGCAGTGCGGCAAAAATTTCAGCTGGAGTTACCAGCTTGTCCGCCATCAGCGCGTCCATACTGGTGAAAAGCCTTACACCTGTATTGAATGTGGGCAGAGCTTCTGCTGGAGCTACCAATTGGCCACTCATCAGAAGTCCCACACGGCAGAAAACTCCTTCATGTAAATACACTGTTTATGGGAACAATTAAACAGTGCCCATCTGGGCTTAATGTGGTCATCTCACAGAAGAGTTGGGTAATTGTCCATTGTGTACCCAATATTCAGTTATACCATAGGGATGGTTCCTATCTCATGCCCAAATTCCCCATCATATCCGTGAATGGCTGGACTATTGTCCATCTTGTGTTCAATATCCAGTCACAAACATACTGTTTAGTGCAATAGTGGAATGGGGTTGACCTGCATGCAACATTCTGTGTTGTATTGCAGATCACAGATCTTGTGGTGTTGTCATAATACTTGGTGACCCTTTTCATTAAAAGGAATGTTTACATACAGATGGCAACCAAGGGTCTTGAAGACCTGCCACTTGAAGCCCAAATGTAGTGGTATCCATGCCAAGCCAATGTATCTTGCCATGTTATATTCACATTTGTGGATAGAAATAGAGGAAGAATCTCCTTGTTTTTGGCCTGTTAATGCTCTCAGAAGCCTCTCATCTACCTGCGGGGACTGTGAGCACAGCTTGCTTTAGAAGAGCCATGACGTGAATGTGTACAGGCTGTGCGAGGAGCAACAAGGATGATTGTAATCAGTGGACAAAAGTGGGCCATATACTAGTACAATTTACAAAAACATTTTTCAGTGGTTTCTAATGGTTAGAAACATTTCTTGTGGTTAGTGGAGTTAGAACAATCACTTTTGACCATCCATTTGAGAAAATTTGAAGGAACAAGATGGATAAAAGGACTTAAATTTAACTGGTAATGATAATGACAATGATATTGTAATGTGTAGGTTCTAGGCACAAAAGGAACCTGTTTGAAGAGAAGTTTAAGAAACAGCTGCTGCAAATACTGTAGCTGCTGACTTTGAAAAATCAGGTACTTACCAGTGCCCCCGGGGTCCATCGCTGCGACTATAGCGGAAACGGGAGTGGGTACTGATAAAAAATGGTACATGCTCTTCCCAAGAAACCTTCAACTCAGTTCCAAGCTGAAGGAGGGAGCGAACCAGCGGGCCTTCACTTTTTGAGTGAAGCACCACTTTATTATGGCTGGGATTCCATTGCAGTAGTAGGTCTGGACATAATTTTACAAACTTCCAAACAAAATTAGTTGACTCAATGGCGCGTTCGTGTGCTCTTAAGAACAGTTCCAGATTTTTCCATGCAAACGTTCAAACATAAGTTCACTGGTGTATGGCCAGCTTTGGACTCCTTCGTAGACCATCAAAGTGTCTGTTGTTTAGCTTGCCAAATTGGCAGCTGTCTAGTGTTGTATTAGTAAATACAGATCTGGACATAAACCAATCAGATTTTTTTGCCATCTTTGTGAGGTTTCTCTGTTGCACTACATTTCACAGAAGGTTTGCATCCAGATATTAACCAATGCAAGACTAGTGTTAGGTCTGATGGCCCTGCACAGTGCGAGAGTCTGTTGGACAGCCCATACTGTGTAGTCATTTCTTGATGTCCCTGATATTCCAGGGTGAATACCATCTTATTAAGTGTAGTTTTCATCCTTGACACATTTGGGTAATGCAGACAGCTCAGGTACCCGAATGGCAGAGCGTCAGGGCTTAATCCGTTCACATTAATTGAGCCAATTTTGGACTATGGATAAAGTGTATTGCATGAGCTGAAGCTTTGCCCCATTACAAAACTTATGACTTTGCCACACGCTGGATCATTTGTCGTTTGTCCAAGTCTAATGCTACCCACTGAAATGCGGCATTGTGATGTCACAGTTGGAGGGGCATGTGCTTTAAATACTAAAACTTTCAGACTGGTACCCAGGACTATAAAATTATTTTTCTGATCTGTCATTTTTAGCCCTCGACTGGATATTTGATAAAGTTTGATCAGCGCCATTTGTTGAAAAGGTTTCAGCATTCACGGGAGAGATCAGAAAGGGCGTCATGGATGTGGCTGGATGGAGAAGTGGCAACTGTAGAAAGATTATGCTAAGAAAGAAAAGAAGAAAAAATTGTTTGTGTTTGCTGTGTTGTTCAGATGTCAGTGTTCCCATCCAGCAATGGGGGCTGCCACTGTGCGACTTCCTGAAGCTCGGTGTTGGTCCAGGGTGCAGTCAGTAAGTTGCACAATGCTGTAGACCTGCATTCTGTACCAGATTTTGCATCACTACATTAGTCCAGCCACATATTTCTCCAAAGCTGGATATGAGCCTCAGCTGTTCCAGATTATAGTTGCCTTGACAGGTTCTCTTTAAGGCTGCCAATCAGAAAGCATCTGCCATAGTTTAAAAAGCAATCTGCATGAAGAGAGATCAGTGTTGGTTGCTGTGAGTTAAGCATTGCTCTTTGCCTTATTAACAAAAGGGCCCCAGTGTTGCGCTGTGTTTTACCCACCTCTTATGTTTCTGTTGGGAAAGAGGTCCGTGAGGTTCATGATAAACGTTCAGTCCATCCAAAACTGATTTCAGGAATAGGTGGAGCCCAGGAGCCAAATCACCTTTTTTATACCTCTTATTTATATCCCTACTTTTTTTTACATTTCAATAGTTCCTAGCTGTGTTCCTGGCTCCTTTGGGGTGGCTGGTCCCTCTATGCCATTAAATCATCCAGGAACTCCAATAGAGCCCAGTAGAGCTACAATATATCTAAACCCCAAAACAAAAATGCCATATATTGCAGCTTACCAGTCCTTAGCTTTGGTGTTTGCATTAGTTTTCTTTTCCCTGGTGTTTTAATTCCTTTCTTTTTCCCTGGGGGTCCTGCCAGTTCCTTTCTGTAAGGTTTACCTGCTCAGGTAAACCTTACAGAATGCATTTCCCATATAGCAGTCACCTTTTTCTTAAGGCTGGCATTCATATTGATACTTGGATGCCCCAGGACTTAAAGTGCAGTGCTTTATTTGCAGAACTGGGATGCTCCCCAGCAACTTTCAGAAAGAGAGAATTCATGCACCATGTCAGATGGCTTCATGATGCAGAAAAGGTTCAAGACAGGTATCGTATACTGGAGAGACCAAGGCTAATGACTGGCAGCACAGCAAGCATGCAGTGGTCAGTACTGGCTAGAATTGGGCAGAGGCAGTGTTTGTTAGCCAAGCAAGGGTCGCGGCCGGCAACAATCAGTAGCTTATCTTTTATCCAGGCAAGGGTCAGATGGCAATCAGTAGCTTATCTTTTATCCAGGCAAGGGTCAGATGGCAATCAGTAGCTTATCCTTTATCCAGGCAAGGGTCAGATGGCAATCAGTAGCTTATCCTTTATCCAGGCAAGGCAGATGGCAAGGGTCATGGCAGGCAATGGCAATCAGTAGCTTATCCTTTATCCAGGCAAGGGTCAGATGGCAATCAGTAGCTTATCCTTTATCCAGGCAAGGGTCAGATGGCAATCAGTAGCTTATCCTTTATCCAGGCAAGGGTCATGGCAGGCAACAATCAGTAGCTTATCCTTTATCCAGGCAAGGGTCAGATGGCAATCAGGAGCTTATCCTTTATCAAGGCAAAGCTCAGGGCAGGTAGCAATCAGTAGCATATGCATTATGCACGCAAGGGTCAGGGCAGGCAGCAATCTAAAGACTAATCTGTTCTCCAGGCTAAACTTTTACCTTTTAATTTAATCTGTGAGCGATACGTTTCCTGTCCAATGGCAACAATGTTTGCTCACTATATTTTATCAATGGAAGGGGAGTGTTGTGATTCTAGGCTGCTCTTCCAGTTTGTACTCTCCTACTCACCATAACACAGGAGGGAGAGGTTCTGTATTCCAGAAGACAACTGATAAGTTTGATAACTTTGTTTGGGATTTGAGGTCAGGATATAGGAAGTTGGAAATACAGTGAATCTATAGGTATGTTTCTGTAATTGCAGAAACTGTACGTAGCCCAGTAAAAAAGAAAACCAAAGCAGTTACCCTACCTAAGGGCTGGAAAAATATATTACATTTTTTGTTCCTGGGTTTAGGTGTACTTTCTTTTCAGCATCCACCAACAACTGAAATGTCTGTTCTGGGTTGACTGACTCTAAAAGGGTAGTGGTGTATGTACATGATAGTGTATTGCTTTCGTTGTGTATTGTGCGTCAAGTTCATGCGGTCCCAATTTTCATTATTTTATTAATGACACTTTTCTCTGATGAAGAAGAGATGCTCAGCACTTAGAATGTCTGTACCTTATTACTGTCTATTTCTTTTATAAAAAAAATATTGTGAAATTGTTCCTGAACTTATCTCTATTTATAACAAATATATATCTCTGTATGTTATCTGTGTGAATGATGTGAGGGCAGTGGGGGAGGGTGTAGTTTTTCCCAAGGGGAACGCTTGAAATAATTTTGATATCTTAGGGGACACCTGCTTGTTCCCTTACATTGGGGATCAGTGGAAAAGTGACCCCTTACATTGGTGGCCAATGGAAAAATGCCCCTGTCACCAACACTGCTGGTCATTGGAGAAGTGACCCCATATATTAGCGATTAGTGGAAAAATGCCTCTTTCCCCCATCATTGCCTTTATTACATTGGCGCTCATTGCAAGTGATCAGTCTGCCACTGCTCACTACTCAAGAACCATCTCTGGAGGTACACTTGGCTTCAATGGAATCCTAATTGAAAAAGGCTAGTTTAGAGGAACCTGGTCACTAGGGGTTGGATTCAGAAGCGCAGAAGTGGAAGATACATAATGAAAATTGAGAGACATTCTTCTCTCACCCCTCTCACCAGGGCTTTCATTGCACACACTGTTCATTTCTGTCAAAGTGAACCCCCTCAATAGTTGTGAAATACAACGTTTCTGCACCTAGTACCTAAGATTCTGTATTCATAGGTCTCCTTGAGGAGGACCTGGAGGGGGGCAGAGGTAGTGGAGTAACTTCAAGAATTGACTCCTGCTCAGTGCTGGAGTGACTTCTCATGGGTTCCAAAGAGAAGGCCTTGTACTATCATTCTTACCTACAGGAAGTTAACAAAAGCCTGGGTGTGAGGTGTTTTTTTATGGGGTTTTTTTTTCTTGTTTTTCTACTATTTTTTCCCCAGCCACC